GACTAGTGTGTGTGTGTGCGTGTGCTGGTCTATCTATGTATCTGTATCTAGTGAGGGAGGAGGATACTGTATCTATCAGTCTATGTATGCATCAAATGGAAGAAGAGTAGGCTAGTATGTCTGTCTGTCTATCTATCAGATATCAATATATGTACTTATATGTAATCGAGAAGAAGGAGGAGGCTAGAGTATCTATCTCTCTGTCAGAGGAGGAGACTAGTGTGTCTGTCTCTCTGTGTGTCTGAGAGTTGTCTCTATCTATATCTAATGGAGAAGGAGGATTCCCATGTATCTGGCTATCTGTCTGTCTCTAACAGGAGAAGGTAGAGGCTAGTGTGTGTATCCATCAATCTCACTTTCTATCTAATGGAGGAGGAGAAAGTCTATTAAGTTTGTCTATTATCTAATGGAGGAGAAGATTAGTGTGTCTCTCTACCTACTTAATTGAGGAGTAGGAGGAGGCATGTGTGTGTGTGTGTGTCTGTCTGTCTGCCTATGTATTTATCTGTCTACCTATATAATGGATGAGGAGGAGGAAGTTAGGATATATGGCTGTTTGTAAATGGAGGAAGAGGCTAGTGTGTCTGTCTGTCTATTTATTTGTCTCTCTGTCTGTGTAATGGAGGAAGCCTCCCAATATTCGACCCACCTGGAGGGATGCCAATTGCCACCCTGAAGCAGCAGAGGGCGCCCCCGTTGGAGGCTGAGGGGGACACTGGATGGAAATCTACAGGCTTGCCTGGGCAGCCCATGCCTCCCGCTTCCGCCCTCTCTGTAGCTGCCACGGCCCCGCCCCCTGACCACCCCGCACCCGACTTCCTGGGAGCCTGAAAACACAGAAGTGTGCACCTCGTGTACCTAGGTTAGCAGAGACCAAACCTAGGACTGGCCAAGGGGGAGATCTGAGCAAATACACAGGCTCTGTGGGGCAGCCCCGCCTCCTCAATGCAGCCTCTGATCGCACCGTGCCTGCCTCCGGGGCGCAGGCTGACATGGAAACATGCATACTGTGAACCTGGGGCAGGAGAGGACGCACTCAGGCCAAGCCCTTGTGGAGATGGGAGCAAACTGATCGGCTCACCCAA